TCCCACCGTAAGCTGATTTGCGAGCAGTGTGCCAGCAGATATGCGTGATGTCCGCACATCTCGTCCTAATCCTAATCAACTAGAAATTCGCGTAGAAGCGCAAAATGAAAAATTCAATTGCAGCCGCCGTTTGCAGATCGTGCCTCTGTAGCCGCAGATTTTAATATTACTTGCTGAAAAGGAGAAAACATCACAGGTTCTGTGATATTGACTGAATGAGATAATAAATCACCTTTCAAGAACATCTGAAGAGAATTTTAATAATGCAAAAAATGACGAGATGTTGCCTTAAAATTTTTTAATCGTTGAGATTATTTACTCAGTAAATGATTTTCAATTTAATAAAGTAGCAAAGTTCTAAACAAAACAACAACATTAGTTAGCCATGCGTGCTACAGCAAATATTAGTAGATATTTTAAATTTTCTTCAACCGTTAGCATAATCATACTAGATCAGAAATTTACATCCAAACGTTACTTATGGAAGAAAGAAATTTTTAAGAGTTCTGATTTTTGAAAGCCCAAAAATTTCATGCACGATGTGGTAATCGAGTGAAAGTGCTCTCCGAAAAGGACGCGCGTATTCGTTGCGTAACATAACGCAATATAGTCAACAGGCAACGCATTTCATGCTTTCAATATACTCCCAGCATTTAATACATTCCATACATTCAATATAGAATCCTTTCCATATGGAACATAGAGTACGCTCAATATATTCAACAATCATTTGGCCATGGAATTGAATTTGCTTCAGTGAAAAGTAAACGTTAAATAATACTACCGTCAAATGATACCATGTATGTACATGCACGTGCGTGTGTATGTGTAAGTGAGTGTGTGTGTAAGTGTATGTGTATGTGTGTATGTGTGTGTGTGAGAGATAGTATGTACATTCGTTTGATCACCAACAATGTTGTTATCTGTTACTGGACATAAGGATTCATAGTGCATAAAAGAGATCTATCAAGAAACATTACAACGAACGCGCATGCAGCAGGAAAGAGAGTTAGTACCAAAAACACAGAGGGAAAAAGAAAAAAAATAATGGAAAGATAGAAAAAGAGAATCTATAAAATCATATTATTTCACAACATAATGGGTAAATAACAAGAAAGACAGAGAGAGAAAAAAAAGAGGGAGAGAGAGAGAGGGAGAACTACGCGACTTATTATACATAATTTAATAGTAAGATGTATGATGGTTAATATAAATTTTTAGCAGCAAGAAAAAATATTTAAGCTAAAATTAGATGAGAAAATGAAAAAAGAGAGAGAAAAGAGGAAAAAGAGAGAAAGAGCAAAAAAGATGGTGAGAAGGAGAGAGAGCCTGAGGCTGATGAGGCGTAAATATGAACGATGACGTAGTTCATAATGAAAAAATTTCAACTGTTTCTAATTAAACGTTTAGGCTGAAGTTTTATTTGGTTGTTTATATTATTCCTCCATTCATTCGTTCATTTATTTGTTCTCTTCTTATTCATTCATTCGTTTATTCATTCATTCATTCGTTCGCTCATTCGTTCGTTCGTTCGTTCGTTCGTTTGTTCGTTCATTCATTCATTCATTCATCCATTCATTCGTGTATTTATTCATTTGCTCTTGAATTTATTTTTTAATTTATCTGTTCATCTATTTAGTCATTTGATCTTCAAATTGTTTATTCATATTTTATTTTTAATTAACTGCTAAACTTATTTTTCTCAAGCGCTCATTCATATAACAAACCTACTCCGACTTCAAATCTACGGCCGTTCAATTGTTTTTCAATTAAATATTTTTAATTTCATTTCATTAAAAAAAAGTTTATTTGATCAACATTTTAGATAATATTTTAAGATATCAATTCATTTGTTTTTTATCGCTCAATTCATCACTTGATCCTCACTCACTTGCATGTAATCATTTCATCATGTCTCATTGTTTACGTCATACATCTTCTGAATAAGCTCCCTATGCTATGCATCCATGAATATATGCTTCCATGTCTATAAATGTATGTATTTATTTGCATATAACACATTTAGATAGATAGACAAGAAAAGAGAGTAAGATAAATTTTTTAAGAAACCTCAATGTTTGTAACTGTTGAGAAGAGTATGAATATGAATGTATGTTATTGTATGTATTGCAGTGTTTCGAATGTGTTGATGTGTTGTATTTGTTTTGTGTGTGTGTGTGCGTGTGTGTGTGCGTGTGTGCGTGTGTGCGTGTGTGTGTGTGTGTGTGTGTGTGTGTGTGTGTGTGTGTGTGTGTGTGTGTGTGTGTGTGTGTGTGTGTGTGTGTGTGTGTGTGTGGATACTGATGTAAGCTGGCTGGTGACGTAATGTCGAAAATTAGTTCTAAAAATAAGGCTAGGCTTGGTTGGATGGATGATATATCAAATGATTAATTGGATGAAGTTTAATGGATAAGTTGATGATTGATTGAGATGATTTAATTTGTGAATTACTGAGTGAATGAGCAGCTATATAAGAGTGATTGCAAGAAATGATTGAATAAGAAATTGCAAGTCGTTGATTGTTTACTTAAATGAATAAAAATGGTAGATCAACAAAATGGCGAATGAAAAAGTAAACGACTTAACCATGAAAATTAATAAATGGTTGGAAGGATTGACAGCAGCTGCATCATAGGTGGACGGATAAATAATGGATGGATCGATGGATAAATTGGATATGTGGATGGATGGATGAATGTATAAGAGAAAGGTGAATGAACAAAATTGCGAATGAATAAGTGAACTTTATTAAATATATGAATACACACACATGCACACATACACACACATATATACCTATACAATTTTTGTAAAAATTTTAGTGATTTTTTGTTTAAAGAAATATATATATATCAAACGTTCTTCCAATTAATTCTTTGGACTGTTTAATGTACGATAAAAATAAATCAAACGACTAGAGCTTTATTTTCATCAGCAAAATTTTTCTGATGATGATGATAAGAAGGAGGAGGGAGAGATAAAAATGAAGTTTAGGAAGAAAATGGTGATTACGCTGATGACAAAAATGATGATGACAATGATGAACAAGATGATGACAACGACGATGAAAAAGATGATGAATTGATGAATGTAATAATGAAGTGAAGGTAGTGACGAAGATGGTGGCAAATAGGGATGATGATGAAATGAAAGTAGTGACTGAAGATCAAAAGTATGAATTATGAAAATTAAAATTAAATAATTGAAATTAAATTATGAAAATTAGTTGGACCTCTAATACCTTATAATAAAACGGTCCGGCCATTGAAAGAGAAAATCATTACAAATAATCAGAATGGGGCAGTTTAAGTTTTTTGGTCACATCATGCGGAAGGAAGGAATGGAAAATCTAACAACTACTAGAATGATTGCAGGGGAAAGAGATCGCGGTCAACAACGAATAACATTCGTGAAGTCCTTGTGTCACTTATTGAACATCACTACATTTCAACTACTACAAAGTGTTAAAGATCGGGTTTTGTGGAGGTCGATGGTCGCCAATGTCCTGAAAGGATAAGGCACGAGGAAGAAGGACTGAAGATGATACTAAAATGGGGTGATGATGAAATAAAAGTTGTGAACGAAGATGATGATTATACTATAGTTGTGTACCATCAATTAATTAGCAATAATACGTCAAAATGTTGAAAAATTATAAAATTTGAAAAAAAAAACAAATTTTTGTTGTTATAAAAATAGCCAAAACAACATACGGATGATTTAATTAGCTGAGAGATGATTGATGAAAATTTTATCACAACCAAATAATATTCTCGAACATTTTGATCACGTGTCAAAACAGCGGTGGTAGCGGCAGTTTCATGACAAACTGAGCAGCAGGTGACACGTTCAAGTGCTGGACTACACGTTGAAGTTGTTGCAGTTACGTTCGTGGAATCCATCCAATCAACTTCATTGGCTTCTAATGGTTTTGCACCCGATCTTCCATTTGATAAAATTATCTCAAATTTAAAAATCCTTTTCCATTTACGACACTTTTGATTCTTTAATTAGGATGAATATTTTATTCTGTTTTAAATTAAATATTTTTTACCATATTATTTTTTTTCGTATTTAAAAAGTTTTACTTAATTGTTTTTAAATTATTAAAACGTTGAATGATATTTATTTCATTGCTCATTCTAAAGTATTTGTTTTAAGTTTTGCTATTCTCATGAGAAACGCAAGTCAATCAAATGCTAATATTGAAATAATTGATGCAAATAAACTCGAGTTTTTAAGAAACGCCAAACGCTAGCATATTAAAATGAAACTACTATAACTATTATTATTATTATTATTTTTATTATTATTATTATTACTACTACTACTACTACTACTACTACCACCACCATAATTAATACTACTACTACTATTTCTACTATCACTACCGCTACCAATACTACTATTTCTACCACTACTACCACTACTTCTACCATTCTACTACTAGGGTAACGTGGGGTAAAACGCCTACTAGGGTAAGAGGCCTCCCGTCCATGTTGAGCAAAATTTTTGCGATGTAAATTTTTTTTAACTGCCATAATATTAGATTATCTATGTAATTAAATGGTCTGTGTTGTGGAAGCCGCGCGTTGTTTTGGTTGATAATTAATGAAAGTTTAAGATTTTAGGGCTATCTGTTACAAATATAAACATAATCATTAAAGCTTTTTCTCAAAAACTGAAGTTATTCTCAAAAAGTTGAAGTAAGTGATAAAATTTTGTATTATTTACACTATTTAACACGATTTTTTTTAAATCTATATTTTAATCCATCGTAGCACATTATCGGTTAAAATTTTACAATACACTTTGGGGTAAAACGCCCCCTATAAAATGGGTAAAACGCCCCCTTTTAAATTATGTAATTAAAGAATAATTTTATACTAGAACTATTTGATATTGTTTTAATCCTTAAAATTAAAAAATAAAATTTAACAGTTGTTTGTTGGTTTCTTTTTTAACTTTAACAGTCATACTTTTTAATTTAACTTAACAGAATGCCACGGTCTTGCAAAAGAAAATCAGCAAGAGGATCATACGGAGAAGAGTCGCTTCGTCAGGCATTAGCGGCCATTCATGATGGAACACCAGTGAAAACAGCTGCACGGCAGTACGGTATTCCTCAACGAATACTAAGACGACATTGGGATAAGAAAGTATTATATCCGGGAAAATTGAAATTGGGACGATTCGAATCGGATATTCCCATTCAATATGAAAAAGAATTGGTGTCCCTAATTCAAAATATGGGTCTTTTTTATTTGTTAAAATTATGTATTTATATAAAATACTATGAGTGATCTTTCTGGAAGTTTAAAAATCTCAATTTTATAGCATAAATGTGATTTAATCGAACTTTTTCCTTAGAGGTCTTACCCCATGTTACCCTACTATTATTATTACTACTGCTTATAATAATATTAATTATTAATATTAATATTAATGAAAATAATAATAATATAATAATAATAATATAATAATAATAATAATAATATTAATGAAAACAATATAAGCGGTAGTATGGACGCTTCTTGTTGACCGAGAGATTTCAATAAATTTATTTGGCCTGCAAAGTGGCCGGCACAATATCATCTCATCTCGTTACGTCTGCATAATATTGACCTACGTTTCCCTTAATTTCCAATCTCCAGACTTCAAAAATGAGAAGTTTGAATAATTTATTGCAAGCCATGCTCTCGGAAATACCTGCTCATTATTTATCGATCATTTATTTACGGGATAACGAGCACGAAAAACCATCTACTACACTACACCCAATACAAATTTGAAAGACAACAACAACATTTTCAACGGTGTTGATGATGAGACGACAACAACCATAAATTAAAGAGAACCACGCAGAACATAGTATTTAAAATTGTAATGGGAACCTTTGTTGAGGATCAACTGGAAAACACACGTGGTTGGTTATGTTGGAACCTTTTTTCAAAATTTTATTTTGGAAAATAAAGTGTTAAATAAATATAAAAACTTTGTTTCAGAAAAGATTTTGATACGTTTATAACAAAAAATTTCCACTTTCTCTACGTTAAAAATTCAGTCAAAAAAAATTGAAAAATTGTCGAAGTAACGAGAGGAGCGTAATTATTTAACAAGAGTTCAATCGTTTGATCAGAAGTTTGTTGTGGGCGGAGTTGAAGGTTCTAACAAATTTTTATCTTTAATATCCTAAAAAAACATTTTATATCAATTGTGTGGGGGGAAAAGCAAATTTTAAAATTCCAATTAAAAACCATCGTAGGCACTACAAATGACCTCCTCCTCCAGCGATGTTGTTAGTGGCACTGTGAATACTTCAACATCAGTTGAATGTGTGTTTAGAGCATTATTTTTCCTATGATTAAAAAACAGTATCATTGCTCATCATTTTGATAGATCATATAAATTATTTAATTATTTTTACAAAAAGCAATCTATGTTTTAAAAACAATGACAAAAATAAATAGAAGAGAGATCGTTTTTTACAAAATAAATTGTTTTAAAGTTATCTTACGTGCGTTCGTCTGGTTATAGAGCCAGCCCAAACGTAGCCCAATTGAACAATAAAGCATGAGCAAACCCACACAGCACAGCTCAAAACACAGCATCAAAAACACTGCAGAAAAACAACACAAAAGTTAACTCAAAAGTCAACACCAAAGACAACATTACAGGACGCACGAGAGAAAAACACGAGACACACAACTCAAACCACAATAGGACAACATTACAAAACAACAACACAGCATAAATAAAAACACACAGACGCACACAGACATACACACATACAAACAAACACAATCGGATGTTTACATGACCCATCAAAAAGCGCATCGAACATTCCACGAATCCGACGATGAAACTTTCATTAAAACCAGTTCACGTAGAACAATCACAAATCAATGGAATGAAATGTTTGTAAATTCAAATTTCAAACATCGACACAATGATAACTTCAATGTCGTTAAAAAATTGTTGGAAGTAACGAAATGCAACGTTGAAGAATGCCCTTTAATGCATAAGTAAAATATACTGAAACGAATTTTTTCTTCACATTTCCAAAATATGAATTTCTAAAAGTCGTGATGCTTCGAGAACTGATCAGCATTATAAAATTTTTAAAAGTTGTTCGGTGCGAGTTGTAACGAGCGATGACGCCGCTAACAATGGTCATTACGATTGCTGGGAAATAATTGCTGTTGTCGTTGTACTTGAAGCAAAAATACTGGCTTTGTTTCTTCTTCATCAGTGAGGATGGTGCTTGTCAGGGTTCTTCTTCCTCTTGCTGTTTGTTTGTTTGTTTGATTTTCAAATTGTTGATGTGGTTTGTGTCTGTTGATGTTGATTTGTGAATATTTGTCGGTGCTGTTGTCGTTATGGTTAACGTTGCACAGTTGTTGTGATTGTTGCCGTTTGAATGTTATTTTAATAGTGCTTTGATGGTCATTGTTGTTATTGTTTTGTGTTGTTGTTATTGTTGTTGCAATTGTTGTTGTTTTATGTTGAAGTTGTTTCTGTGACTTTGTTTACGTTTTAGTAAGTTAATTTGATGGCAGTTGGTGCTTTCGAGCTGTTTATTGGTGTCACTTAGTTTGGTTTTGTTGTCTCTTTAGTTTTGTCGCTGGTTCGTTAAGATGTAGGTTTGTGTCTTCTTTTACATTATTTTGATTTTTCGCTTTCTGATGTTAAAGTTCATATGCACATATTTGTTGGAGCGATTTTGTGAATTTAATATTTTCATAAACTAAGCAGCGTTCGTTACTCACAATGCACTTCAAGTCTAATTTTTTTCATTTCGTGGTTTTTTTGTAATAAATATATAAATATTTGTGTTTTTTACCCAAAATAGTGTATTGAGTTTCGAATTTATTTTGAGTTGTCAGCAACGCCACTACACAACCACAACACAACAGAAGAGAAATTAATAATCCAACTTTGGTTTCGCCCAGAGGAAGAAAAGAAGAAAAACCTTCTTCTTCTTTTAAAATATCCAACATTTGATTTACTTTCACTTTGTTCTCAAATCGGCTCACGAAAGAAAAAGTCTTTCAGATCAGATGTTCCATTTAATACACGTTTAGAATTTTCTACGTCTATTTGGACTCGTGCCAGCATTAAAAAATTTTTCCTCCTACGATTAAATGAGATAAAATTAGGTACTATTACCTACACAAATGAAGCTGAGTTTGATTGAAATCAACTTGTAAATGTGAAAAAGTAATACAATAATACTGATGGCAGACTACATGTTTTGTTAATTTTCAATAAAAAAAACGATTTTATTGACTATATATAAAAGGTATTACATTTTGCAAAATAAAAAAATAGACGTTAATGAAAGATTCAACAAAATGCAGTATCAATAATTAATTTTACAGCTGTCACATTTTTGTCGTAAGAATATTTTAATGAAAAAATAACTCAATTAATAATTAATTCAACACTAACCTTCTATCTATGGTGGCTTCTCAAATCATTTTGAAGATATTTTGTTGAAGTTGTAATAATTGTTGTATAACATTATATAATTTGATATTTATATAATAATAATCTAATTAAAATAACAATTTAATAATTTAATACATAATATATTATTACAATATTTTATAAATTATAATAAACGTTATTCTTCAAATGATATGCTCATCTTATGAAGATATTAATAATTTTTTATCAACAGCTATGAAGCGAGAAAATAGAAAATTGTTTAAACTGAAAATTAATAATTGTCGTGTAGAAATAAAATTTAATCTGGCAGAACAAACATCAATCCTGTTGAAGCACAACAACCTCCAGCCGACAAATATTTACTAAGTGTTGATTTGGCTTCACTCCAACTTGTATTATATATACTGAGAAAATATGGCAGTGCTGTTCGTTTGTTATAAAGTGCTTGACTGACTACGTATGTCTCTATGTATGTCATATGGATGTTTTGAGTGTATGAGCGTGTGTGGGTGTCGGTGTATTGGAAACTGTGTGTGTGCGTGTGTGTGTTTTAAAAATTGTGTGTGTGCGTGTGTATGTGTGTTTTCGTGTGTATGTGCGTGTGTGTGTGTGTGTGTGTAAGTGTACCTCTATATATGAATATGATGTATAGAAATATTAGAAATGATAGTGTGTGTGTGTGTGTGTGTGTCCCTCTATATATCAATATGATATATAGAAATATTAGAAATGATAGTGTGTGTGTATCTCTATATATCAATATGATATATAGAAATATTGGGAATAATTATTCTAGTGTGATTTTATTTATACAATGTACCCAAGAACGTTTTATATAGCAAGTTGAAAGATTTCTTACAAACGATGCAGAATAATCTGCGTCTACATTTTCGTACGTTCAAAAACCTCATCCTGTTTCAAATGATGGCAGATGTATCATGCATGTATGGCTGTATACAAATATTTAATCGTCGGCATGATAGCATGTATGGACATGAAGAGTATAAATGTATATAAAAAATACACACACACATACACACACACACACACACACATATATATATATATATATATAAAAATATAAAGTTATTGAACCCATATAAATATATATATATATAGTATTTCATAAAACTATGGGCTATTTAAAAAATCGATTTGACTTAATTAAAAACAACTTTTTTTTACAAGATATGATTTAATTATTTCAACTATTTAAGTTATTTTATAAGAAAAACTTCTAATACGAATTCAATTGTTTTGTTTAACTTGATAAATTTTGATGATCATTTTTGCTCTATTCTTGGTAAAATTTAACTTGTTTTCACTGGCTAGCTATACGATTATATTTTCATTTATGTTGTTATTTTCATGTAAATATATGTTTTTATTTGGTTAGGGTTGGGTGGCCGTACAAGCTCGTTTAAGCTTTTGTGTCTCCATGCTTTTTGCTGAATAAATTGAATTGAATTGAAAAATCTACAGAATTGTTGGCATCAATCAATTCAAGTTTAAATTCTTTTTAAATTTCTCTACTAGAATTTTTTGGAAATTGTACAATTTATTGAAAATAGAATTATTATATAAGTTTATCATGAAAATTTAATGAAACTATTGTTACCCAAATTCAACATGCAAGTAGGCCTTATTTAGATTTTTCACAAATCATTTTCAGTTTTAGTGAACCCGTAAATGTCGAACTTTAAATTGATATTGCGTCGAATTCCATCGACACACACACACACACAGATATATATATATATATATATATATATATATATATATATATATATATATATATATATATATATATATATCAATAGGAAATTATATTATATAGCACCAATTAAATATTCTCAAATGCGCTATCGAAGTTATTTAATTATAAAAGTCTACAATACTATTAATAAGAGAAAA